GGTATTTGTTCTGCTCTTTTCATGTGCAGTGGCCGCTATGCTGATTTTGCTAGACAACTTAACTCCTATAACTTTGGGGTCTATGCAATGGACTGGATAGGTAGCTGCTTGATATCATGTCATTTATTTTCGTACACTTGCAAATTTTGGTATTTAACAAGCCAGCTTATTAGCAGTATTCCTTCTAACAGCATTTCTCTTGTAACTCATTAATCATCTTTCTGCTCATTTGGTACCTGTTGTGCTGTATTTGTGTAAACAATGGATTATGATCTCTAAAACTTTAAGTATATACATACCTTGTAGGCTGAAGCTTTGTAACAATTTATAGGATTGCAAACCCATTAATGAATGATAATGACTTAATAGTGGAATAGTATTTAAATGCTGGATCAGTATCCTTGAAATTCATTTACAAGAGTTTGGGGGCCCATCTTTGGATGGCTGGGGTTATTATTACAATACATTGTTGTACTTATGTAGAGAGCTATTTTCATTGAAATAGCATCTTAGTTGAACAGTATTTTTGTCGGTGGCCGCCTGTTGATGACAGTTTCCTTTTCAACTTACTTTTTAAAGATTTTTCTATTTTCTGTTTCATACTTCTTGCTTTTTAGGCTTGGTCATATTCATGTAATTCTATTCGTTAACTTTTTAAGGACACTATCATGTTATGCCTCTTAAACGGTTGCAAATGTACGCTTATTGTCTGTCCTTGAGAAAACGCTGCCTTTGGTGACTGAGGTGCTCATTCCTGTGATAGGTCATGGAGGGAGTGATGGTTTGCATGGTTATGTACCCTCACTGGATTATGTGGTTGCTGACACTGTAAGTTTTTTTCCATGGATTTCTTTCCCGTGATCCTTCCGCTTCCCTGTGTTGTGCATTAAAAGTTTTACCATCCAATCTCTGGAATTATTTCCCTTGTCAAGGCTGTTGTCCTTGGGATTGTAACCCATATTTGTCATATTACTTCTGGCTTCCTCACCACCTTTTCGCTATAGCTTCTGCTTCCTCACAACTTTGTGCATCTGCTTCCTCATATCTGGTCAATATGCCATCGTTGAATTAGACAAATTGATTTGTTTCTCCTTTTCTTTTTTTTTTTTTTTGGTTGATTTTAAGGGGGTAGGGGGTGTGCTTTGAAGGTGGATTGCTTTATTTTGGTCAATCAATAAGCTAGTTGCTACTTCTGCTGAACAGGGAGCTTTCTTGGAAAAGATCAACAGGGGTCACCCTGGTATACCATGCTTCCTATTTGGCCATTCAACTGGGGGGGCTGTGGTTCTGAAGGCAAGTCTGTTTAATAGACCTAAAAATGAGTTAGAATTTTTGGCCTCTGATTGCCTTTTCAAATTTTGAGTTGTCTACTTTTCTAAGCAGGCAGCTTCATGTCCCCAAATAGAGATGATGTTGGAAGGAATCATATTGACTTCACCAGCTTTGCGTGTGACGCCAGCACATCCAATTGTTAGCGTAAGTTCATTCTTCTCTTTTCCCACTTCTTGGCTAGTATTCAAAATTTAGGCAGGGTTAAGAGAAAGAACAGTGGAAAGGGAAGGACTGCATCTGTACTATTGTGTTGGGACATTAATTTTTGCTCCTATTGAGTTGTCATTTTGTTGGCTTGCCTTTTGTATTGGACTATTGTCTGAAAATGCCTTTTTTCCCCCTGGTGACTGATTCAAAAGTATGGGTTTTATTCTTATTCAGGCTGTAGCTCCGTTGTTTTCACTGGTCGCTCCGAGGTACCAGTTCAAAGGTTCTCATAAAAGGGGTATTCCAGTTTCAAGGGACCCTGCTGCACTTGTGGCCAAATATTCTGACCCATTGGTCTACACTGGCCCAATGAGGGTCCGAACAGGCCATGAGATTTTGCGCATCTCTTCTTATTTGACGCGTAATTTCAAGTCCGTTACAGTTCCCTTTTTCGTCCTTCATGGAACTGCTGATAGAGTCACAGATCCGCTAGCTTCCCAAGATCTGTACAATGAGGCAGCTTCCGAGTTTAAGGACATAAAGCTCTATGATGGCTTTTTGCATGACCTCCTCTTTGAACCCGAGCGCGAAGAAATAGGCCAGGATATTATTGATTGGATGGAGAGAAAACTGAGCCCTGGGAAGCTTGAAAATGTAAATAATTATTGTTAAGAGGAAACATCAACTAGTTCCCTTACTGCTTATATAGATTTCAGTGTTGGAGTCAGCTCTATGATATATTTCACAAAACTTTTGGCAAGAAGCTAGTGCTGTGGCTATTGCTCAAAAGTTTTAGTGAGAAGCTAGTGGTGTACTGAAACAATTCATGTCTGAACCCATGATTTCTGTTTTGCTATAATTGCAACATATTTGGTGAGATTTTCCAATTTATCATGCTTTGGCTGCGGAACTGTTTATAACTACCCCCTTGTGTTTTCCTATAGAGTTGCACATTGTGTTCGTGGCATCTGGCCTGCATCAAACATTGCCTGCTAAGAGATATCTTTTGGCTTTTGATCTACTTGTCCTTTTTTTAGAGGTGTCAAAATGAGTGACTTGAGCGGGTTTGGGTTGGGTAAAATGGGTAATGGGTATAAGTGAGTCAATTCATTTATACTCATTTAATTAGATGGGTATAAATGGGCAAGTCAAACAATGAATTGGGTAACTCAATTACTCATTTATAACCCATTTATTTTAATTTTTTGTAAACTCATTTAAATTCATTTTTACAAACTAAGTTATCAATTTATAACTCTCTTTGTACCCATCATTAGTTTTAAATATTTACTTACAATGCTCCATAAGCCTAATTACTAATTTTTTTTCATTTATACTCTATGTCGCAAAATTACATATTATTTAATAATTGTATAATAAGAATAAAAAAATTTGAACTAAGTACTATAAAAGTTAATATAAAAATTTAATCCAAAAATTTTGAACCCCTAATATGTTTTTCATATATAAATTTAAATTTTCATTTTAGAAAGATAAGAAAAGAGGCTAAAACTTATCATAAATTGGTAATGCTAAAAAATGAGCAAGTTAACAAACTAAGAGAAAATAAAATAATAAGATAAAACCAACAAATAATAATAATAATAATGAAATAAAAGTAGTTAACATCATGATAAAATGAAAATTTTGAAAAAAAAAGGGGGGGGTGGGGGAAGAGAAGAGACTTGGGGGAAAAGAATTCTAAATGAGTTAATTGGGTTTGATGGGTTACCCAATAATACTTATTTAATAAATGGGTATTATTGGATAACTCATTTATACCCATATACAAAAATTTAAGATACCCATACCCATCGATTCATGGGCGGGTATGGGTAAATTTAGTTAAGTGGGTTGGTTTGCCACCTATACCTCTTTTGATGCTTATTAAAAATCGGTACTAATCTGACAAATGTTTACTGACTTCACAATGCAAAAATTACTTGCAGACTCGGAGGTAAAGCAAACTCAAATAATGAGAATTATGATATTCACGATAGCTTTAAAAGCAAAATGCCGCATTGATCTTGACATATTTGCTCAGAGACGTATGCAATGCCTCCACGAAATTGCGTCCAGCAAGAACTCTATCCCTGCAAGAAACAAACAATTTAGAGCAAGTCTTCATGATGCGACATGGACGATCGATAAATTACTCCGGATATTTTTATCAAAACTTGAGAGGTGCATACAGCTATGCCCTATCAGCAGGAGCTATTGAACTTATAGATGAAGCAAATGCTTTTGCTTGCGCTCAAGCATTTGCAAAATGAAGCTGATGGACTTTTTTTGTCCCGAGCTGAAAGACAAACCAAATTACTCAGACATTGGAATCGAGCTCGATTCGGTAAGAAGGCTCGTTCGTATTTAGATCGCCAACTAATCAAATCAAATTTCAACAATAATTTGTGTTTGATAAACTTTTAAATTTGGCTCGATTAGCATATAAGTAAAATTTTCATGTAAAAAGTTCCAACTACTCGAAGTTTGGCTCGACAAAAGTTCTTTCAAACTCAGATCGAGAAGTAAATAAGCCAAATTTGAACAAATTTCAAACTTGTCAAAATAATGAACTAAATTTGAACACTAAAATCCAAGATTTGTTTAGAATAGTTTATACCTCCTATTTCTGTCAAAATGAAAGATGTCACTCATTGAATTTGTCCTCAAGACTACCATTTGTCTGATTCTTGTGTGTTTACCATTTCGTTTCTGGCCGTAAACGTTTCTCATTTTTTGTAGACTTTGAGGTCATTTCTCATTGCAAAGCTATTGAATATTTGAATTAAGTAATGTGACATTTGTTGAGCAGTATTATTCATCAAGTTAGGTGGATCTTGGACTTTAATACCTTCGGAAGCAGGGTGGAGCACCAGTCATCAGGGACTAATGACTAGTAAAACTACAAACTAAACAACAAACCAGAATTTCTTTGTGGTAAAGTATGGTCAATGTAAAGTGGGGCAGGAGGACACCCCAGACTCGAGAAATTCTATGGCATCCTTTCAAAAATAAAAATTTTCATTCATTTATGCCCTAATAGAAAAGAATTTGTGAAGTCTTTTAATATCCGCTTAAAACATTTATAATCTTTACTTAAATCCTTGTAAAGATTACATTTTGCCTGAGAAAACTTTTCAGAAAACTATAGGGGCATTCCCCTGAAATATTTCATCTTTATCAGTCTTGCCCCCCATATCCATAACTCAACATGGGGTTCTATAGGTTTGGTGGTATATAAAAATTGCATGGTATTACACAATGCTCATACATACATTTTTCTTCTCCAGATTTTGAGGTTGATTATGTCTCTTTCTAATTCTACCAGCACTTAATTGGAAGAGTCTTAAATATTTAAGAATCAGAAATTAGTGCATGACTTCCCCTTGTAATTTGGGGTGGTGGAAGTGTTGTGTTTGGATTGCATTTTCCGTCATTTTTCATGGAAAAATTACCGTAGCGATTTGATATATGTGAGTGAAAAAGGTAATAGGAAAATGTGATCACGAAAAACGACAATATTTTCGGACGGAAACAAGCAATCCAAACAATGTTGCATATATCATGTGTTATGGTTGGACTACCAAACTGCAAGAGATGTGCTTAATTTAGCCCTGGGCTTACAATTTCAACACCACATGATTCTCACAGTACAACTAACAACAACATAATTAGCTCTGTTAAACTTGATTATCGACGAGTCCTAGGAAATTAACAAAGCAAAACATGTACTAGTAGATTGTCGAAAAATACAATTGAAATATGGATCAATATATATATATATATATATATATCATCTGACGACTAATTTGAGTGCAAAGCTCTCTCCATATTCTCCACCATGCCTTGCAAGGACAAGTTAAGGTAAGATGATAAAACATCACAAGTCATCCCCTCCACAGGATCAGCCAAGAAAGACCATTCGATCTGACACCCGAATTTGTCATCATCACCCTTTGCTGGCAACAATTTGATGGTTGCTACGTAAGATTTGAATCCCAGATTATTGTCCAGAACTTCATAGCTCAGACAACGCACCACTGGATCAATGGCTAACAACTTCTCATGGCACCACTTGGTCATGCCAGGATTCTTGTTTTCTTCATCATCATCATCAAAATCGTCCGACGGTGAGGAAGTCGAGGAAGGGGGTTTGCAGGCACAGTAGCGAACAATTCCAGGCTGCCCATTGATCCCTTCAACTCGGTAACAGGTATCAATGGCAGGGAGCCATTTGTCCAAGCTGCAAAAGTCCTCCAGTAAAGGCCATACCTGTTCTGCTCCAATCCCATTTAGCTTTGCCGTAGCTTTGCCTTCCCATTTCACTTGTTCTTGTGCTGCCATGTTAATTTCTGAGAGAGAAAGACGAGAAGGAATCGAGGAGGGAGGATTGGCAGGAAGGAATATCTACGACCAGAAAGCTTGGACAATGTATAACAACAAATACTAAACGACGAGTTGGATTAGGACCATGGTTTTTATATAGTAGCGCACTACAAACTGTGGGTGCGTGGGGCTGGAGTTGGAGAGGGAAGATAATTAATTTAGGTTGGCCAGACCTTACGTGACAAATTTTTAATACAAGAGGCCAGAGAAGAAGAACGAAATCAAAATCAATAAAGACAAAGACTAACTAAACACGCAATAATCACTCCTTAATGAGTCATGAATGCTTATATATATATATATAAATAGAGTTTTTTTGCCACAATAACACTCTTACTAAAAAATATTATTGTTCAAAATTTATTACCATAATGATATTATTGTTCCCATCTAGTTATCCTGATTGCCATGTAGGATAACAAGAAAGGAAAGTTCTAATCCAGTTTATAGTTTCCAACATTAACTAAAATTTTAAATTTTTTTATTATAGAGGCACAAGAAGATTGCATAACTTTTATAATTATCTAAAATAAATTTTACCATTATTGACCTTACTATTATTAGTCTCTGAATTTTGTTAAATGTATCAAACCTATTGCATATATTTTTTCAAAAAATAATTTTAAAAATACAAAAATTGCAACGAAAATTTTAAGCAATTACAAAAATTTCAAGGTTATCATATTTGTTTATGTTATCCTTCCTACTCTTTGAAAAGACGAGAATAATCTTCATCTACTTTAAGATTATCGACTTGCGAAACATATTTTTTAGATGCTGTTAATATAAAGATTGGCTTCTTAGATTATGTTTGACAAGGGAAAGATAACGAAAGAAAAAAATGTGGGAAGGTTTATAGAGAAAATTGGAGAAGATATTAGATGAGAAAGAGAAATAGAGGACGTCTTTATCTCTGACACATATGCAGCCTAAGTGGCAAAAAAGGATCACAAAGGTAATAAATTTTAAAATTAAGTTACTTTGGAAATATATTTTGGAAGAAGAGTTATTTTGGCAATAAACTCTATATAAATATATATTCTAAGTTGGAGGTGAGGTGTTTGACTTTTCTTTTTTTTAGTTTTATATTTCTCCAATCACTCTGAGGAATGCGTTCGGTGGATAAAGTCAGAAATCTCCCAATCATCTAATTAATTATAAATAAGTTTTTTTATACACTGTCAATATATATATATATATATATATATAGTTTTTTTTTATGTTAACAGATTTAGATTATAGTTACATAAAGAAATTTAAATTTAAAATTCAAATCATGTATATGTGACATACATCTATAGCTGTTAGTGTCAAAAAAAAATTTAGTATACTGTTAGTTCATAGAAAGTTGTTAATGATCCTGTCAGCTGAGTTGGGTCCTGTGAAGGCATTTAGTGTAATTAAATTAGCACTGGTGCGGTTATTGTTTTAGCAGTGCAACAGATTTAATCTATTAAGGACTAATTAAATGATTGTTGCTAATGATCCAATTAAATCTAAATCTATTGTTTTCCAAGTCTTGTCTAAACTACCACACTTGATAATTAACATCAAATTACCAAGTAGTAAGTCTTAAAGCATAATTAAACGGCTTTAACGAAGCATCATTCTGGCAAAATGTTCTGCAGTTCTGGAAATCAGGGGCCGACAAAAGTTGCATGAAGTTGGAATACGGAATGTAAGCCAAAAGCAATTTGGTGTTCCATAGAGAGTGGTCCTGGGGTATGATGGCTGGGATTGTGAGGACAACATTGATATTGAATTCTCGTGATAAGGACAATATTCACCCTTTTTTTCTTGAGCCTTTGCCTCTTTGGAATGTTAATTCATGGTGATGATTATAGCTTATGTAAAGCTTTGGCACCTCTCCTACCCAAGGATGGGGGATTGTGGGTGCCGACCACCAATACCAAAAAAAGTGCTGAAAATTAGGTTCTGTTTGTATTGCTATTTTCTGGTGTTTTTGTAGAAAATTATACTGTAACGATTTAATATATATGAGATAAAAAGATGATTATGGAAATGCATTCACGGAAAACTTGACATTTTTTTGGGGGAAAATGGCTTTCCAAAAATTGAGAATCTATAAGATATTGGATTTCACAGAAAATTTTTTTAAAAAAATTCTCTTACATAAAAACCCACGGAAAAGACTTTATTTGTTTGCTCCCTCTCTCACGGAAAATTAAGGAGATTTTGACTAGAGTAGTTCTATGGAGAATGTGAAGAAAATAGTTTTAGAGAAAAGGAGAGCAAAACCCAGTACAGTAATTTGAAAATTTTTTTTTAAAATATTATTCTGTTTGTATCATAAACACATATATCACATCATAACAAAGGTTATTTGGGAAAATAGATTATTTGGGATAATTTTTTTTTGAAAAAAATACTACAGTATTGTTTTTATGTGATATATGTGAAATAAAAAAAATTATTGAAAAATGTGTCGATAATGCAATCAAATAAATTTTGAAGACACCTCTAGATAATTATGTCATCCATATTCATAGTCACCATACCGCAGATACTTTTTAGTAGAACAAGTCATGGGTTTAATTGTATTAAATTTGTCCGCAAAATAGAAAAAGCCCCATAAACATGTGCTATTAAACCGCTAATTACGGGTAAAACGAGGCTTGTTGAGATCTAAACACGAAGATGCTATGTATTGAAGCCCTGACACTAAGGGACAAACTTTCCTAATTTCCCGGTTGAAATCCTCGGCCCCCATATGAAGCCCCCTTAACAAATTTCTGCCAAGTGTTGCAACTAATCAAGTTAGCCTTTTTAACTCTTCCACCTCGTTATTATCAACAAAAAAAAAAAAAAAAAAACTCTTCCACCTTGTTTGTCTGTCTTGGTAAATTAGACAGCTGGGCTCACCTCTCTTCATCAGCTTTTCTATCGTTTGTCTTCCTTCCTGTCGAGAAGAAATTTTATTGACAAGATTGGGATTTTGTATGCATTCTTGAATATTATATAGAGTTTCGTGAATCATGGAATTTATAGAGTTTTGTGAATCAGGCCAAACCATGGGTCTTATTCAATGTTGGAATCAGTCCAAACTATGGGTCTCATTCAATGTTGAAAGAAATGAAGATAATTTACGTAGCATTTGCCTCTACTAGGGAACCGGGCTCAACTCTGACACTAAAGTCTCTCGTCGCCGTTTGGATTAGAACTTTTAAAAGTTTTTATAAAATAAATGTACTACAACGATTTGATGTATATAAAATAAAAAAAATAATTGAAATAAGTGTTCACGAAAAATATAATTTTTTTTTTTGAAAATCACAGCCCAGGTAAGACCAACTCCGGACATTTGGCAGAATTTTGTTAATTAGGCTCCATAGGAGCTGGGAAATATGTAAATTAAGGTTCTATTGGTAAATATTAGTCATAATCATACAAAAAGAGAAGATAGCCCACAAGTTGGATCTAATCACATACATGTGTTTATGCTATTATTATTAAGCAAAATCAAATAGACATATACATGTGTTTAAAAAAAATGTATTCACACACATAATTAGTGAGAAATGAAAAATTCATTTTTTGAAATGTGAGGGATGGAGAAATTCATTTTGTGAAATGTGAGGGATGAAAAAAATCATTTTATAAAATGTGAGGGACGAAAAAATTTGTTTTATAAAATGTAGAGGACTATAGATCAGATTATGTAAAATATAATTTGACAAATGTACCCTTAAAAAATGATCACGTGCCTTGCACGTGATGGATTCTGGCAAAAAAATGATCGGAAACCTAGTTAGGGACTAAATATGACCGATGTGAATATGTAAGGGACATAAAATTACATTTTTAAAAGTAAGGGACGAAAAAAGTCATTCTACAAAATGTGAGGGACGTTTTGGATGATTTTCCCTAAATAAAATTTGTAACTCTTCTTCGTGAATGGGTTTCTTAATCACATTTTTACTTTACATATATCAAATTAGTATTGTACATTTTTTTAATAAAAATTTCAAAAAATAGCGATTCAAACGAGAGTTCAGATTAACTACTCGTTTGGATTCCTATTTTTTAGAGTTTTTGCAGAAAAATATACTGTAGCGATTTGATGTATGTAAAATAAAAAGTGATTGAAAAATATTCACGAAAAATGTAAAACTTTTACTGCAAAAAAATCACGATCCAAACAAGGCAAGCTAAATCTCCACCCAGAAGCTTCCATGAATGTATTATTATCTGACAAAATTTCTCTTGAGCTTGAACCAATTTTTATTCAAATATGTCTGTTTAAAGATAACGCACAAATCTATCCGATTCATCTAGATGGAAAATACATTGAAGTACTAATGTTATTTTCACTTGTTTTGATAATCTATTAATTTCAGATATGTCTATATCTATGTTATGTTTGATTTGATATATGTTTTTATCAGTAGTGGAATTTTACTGAATGAAATGATTTTTTCCATACTTAAAAACAAAAAAGAAAGAAAACTTGGCCGACAACAATGTCCGATGCCTAATTGCTTATGACCAATTATAAGCAGCTGACCTGTGGACAAAGTCATTAATTGTTGGTATAAGAAAATATGAGGAAAATGGTCCCAACCGAAGAAGATATTAGAATGTGTATAAAAACAAAATCTATATGACTATAACCAGTAATTGACTAATTCTTATCAATTTAAAATGTTTCACTGTGCCATTTCCATATAACAGAAATCAAGTTTTAGTCCCATAAAGCTCAGCATTTATAACAAAAGATTAAGGAGATTGAATATAGCACTTCCAGCAATCGAGATTTAATTATACTTCCAATATTGAAGAGAAAGTTAAATTTAACAGCTTATACCTAGCGTTGAATACAAGCCAAAAGAAATATGCTGATTAGTCAAAAAGAGTTTATCCACGCACAGAAAGAGGGGAAAGGAACGAAATTTGGATATCCTGAGTGGCTTCCTACCCCATCACGTAGTCACTATATGCGGCTTGTCACTTGAGGTGGCTTCTTCTAAATTCATATGGGTAGGGATGTGCAAAATCGAAAAATTTTGATTTATCGACCAAATTCGAATTCGATAATTCGGAATGAAAATTAGAATTTCGATTTCGAATTGGTCGAATTCGGTAACGATATTTTTCAAATCATAAATTCCGATTTCGAATTCACAATTCGAAATCGAAATCGAAATCGGAATTCGGAATTCCTATTTCGATTTCAAATATGTTTTCATATATATATATAATATATATAATATAACATTTATATTATAATAATAATTTTTATATTCATGAATTCGGTGAAATCGGAATTCCTATTTCGATTTCAATTTCGTTTTCACACACACACACATATATATATAATATTTTTTATATATATGTAATATAATATTTATATAATAATAATAATAATTTTTATATTCACGAATTCGGTGAAATCGGAATTTACCGAATTCTGAATTGAATTCGGAACGAATTCGAATTCGGAATTGGTGAATTCGAAATCGAAATCGGTCGAAAATTCTGATACCAAAATTCCGAAAAATTCTGATTTAAAGTTCCGAATTACCGATTTCGATTTCGATTCACACCCCTACATATGGGTGCATAATAATGCATCTGTCCAGTCCGATGGTGGTTTAGTCTCTTTCAATTTTGGATCCTTTCTTAGAATAGACTAGAGTAGGAAACGTAAAAATAGATGCAAAGTAGATAAGCAATGACTGACTTAAAAAAAAAAAAAGAGTGGATTCCTACCACCACCCACTTGATGAAACTTGTACACAACCATAATAATAGCTAATTATAAGTTTTACCTTCCCCAGAATTGTTTAGGATATCCTCCATTTTCTGAGCCATCCGGTGCAGCCCCACTTCATATTTTTTAACCAAGTCTTCTAATCTCCAGCCTCCAACAGCATCAACTGAAAATGACCACTCAATAACACATCCTAGTCGACCACCATCTTCATCACCAGATCCAACAATAGTGCTATCCCCTGCTGGAATCGGATTCTTGTTGATCTGAATGGTCGAAACGTAAGAATGGAACCCAGTATTGCTATCAATAATCTCATAGCTCAAGGACTTTTCAGCAGGGTCAATGGCTGTTAACTTCTCTTTGGACCAGCTGATGACTGTTGATCTCTCTTTGTTATCTTTGGTTTCTTGGGACGGGATTGATGACCCTTCGCAGTATCGAATCGATCCAATCTCTCCATTGCTTCCATGGATGCCGTAAGAAGCGGCGAGGCTGGGGAAATATTTGTGTATGCCAAAGAAATCTTCAAGAAATGGCCATATTTGGTCTGCACTTGCATTTGCTAGTTTTGTTGACACCTTGGCTTCCCACTTAGGCTTGGAAATTGGTTGCTCCATTGAGTGAGGATACTAAGTGGTAAAGAAATGTTGGCCTCAACCTCTTAAAAAGTGTACAATTCTTATTCAACAAACAATAATATATAGAAGCCAGATGGACATCTACACCACCTTTATGAATTATTGGCATAACATGAAAATTATCAAATTGGGTGCCAAATTGAAAAAATTAAGTTCAAGTTCATTCCTACTAATGCTTATGCTAAGATAAGGAGTTGGCTTCTTTTATTTGTTACTAACAGGCATAAATGCATGTTATATGTATAATAATTAAAATTAAAATAGATGATACGCATTTATACCTATTAGTGTATACACTTTCAATACATATAAAATTAATCAGTAGATTTGTACCATCTCTCCCACTTCACACCTTGGAACGCGCCATTTTTATAGAGATTGACGCGCTTCCACATCTTCTTAACTCCAAATGGCTTAGGTGACAAAAGGGTTGCTCCATTTTCCTAAAGAATAAACCAAAGCCACATAGAGCTGCACTTTGTGGACCGAATTTTATCAGAGATATCTGGTGTCCAGGCCCAACAATATCACACACTTACTGCCCTGGGCCTCCGGCCATTAAACTGGCGAATAATGTTAAACAAATTAGCCCGGCATGACGCTTTTAAAAATGTTGTGGCCTAGGATTAGTCCATCAAGTCGGCCTGTAAATTCAAGCTCAATTGCCTCAAGACTCTTGATACACCTGAAGAGGGTTACCAATGTTACCAATCCTTATAACCCAATACCAGATAAGTTGTAATTAACCACCAGGGCACCAGCTTGAAGCAATTAGTGGTTTGACCATTTTGACAAGAGTCAAGAGTTTCGAGAGTAAAACTAAACAGTCAGCCCAAATTAGTGGTTTGACCATCTGCCGCCCAAGTTCAGCCCGAGAGCAATAGCCCACAGTTGCATTTCCCATCACCTGTATATCTGCTTGGCTTCCGTTGCCTTTTGTGAAATAAAAAGAATTTTTTGGAGTACCGAAATTGAAAAAAAAAATGTTCATTAGTTCAGTCTCATTAAAATGACAACGCTAGTTATACTTGGATTCCAACTTCTCAAGGTTTTTTATTACCTTTCAATTGGTCCACACGAATTTTCATCAATTTGTCCAAAGGAATCCGCCGGTTCAAAATGTCAAAATCCACGCAAAAGAAATATTCATATGTTGCATTCTTGCTGCCTCTGAGTTCTGCACCAGTCGAAATTTACAACGAGGCAAAAAGAACAAAAAAAAAAAGAGAGTAGGAAATAGCATTATCGATAACTATTTAGCCATTAGCATTAGCTAGAGTTAGTAGTGTCGCACCTACAATTTTTTTCTCATTTTTGTTGCTTTTATTGCCTAATAATCATTATCTACACAATTTTATCTGTTTACATCATAAATATATTTTTAATCACTTTTTTATTTCACATACATCACATCTAAAAAGTGATACAATATTTTTTTCATAAAATTATTCCAAATAATCTTCGGTCCAAACACAATTTTATCGCATGCTCTTTATGCCCGTTAGCTCCCAGTTAGTTATTTCTTCCTTCTATTTGTCAAAGAAAATATGTTTCTAGTTATTAGTTTTTTTTTTTTGGTTAATCGTCATATTCTATTTCTACTCGTAAGAGGTACTCTAACAAGTATCCTACTAACAAGGATTGCCTCAAGAGTTGCCGGCTTTTGAGGTTAATTCTGGGATTAGGTTTATAAAACAACAAAAGTCTGATTCAGGCTGTTGAAAAAAGACAAATTGCCTCAGGGTTGAAAGGGTATTGGGTGGTAGTATCCCACTTAGCAGCAGGTCCCCCCTATAGGTACATTTGTCCCACATCGGGGTTGGGGTTGGGTTTGGGTTGGGATATAAGTCCCTGGGATTGCCTCAAGAGTTGCCGGCTTTTGAGGTTAATTCTGGGATTAGGTTTATAAAACAACAAAAGTCTGATTCAGGCTGTTGAAAAAAAAAAAAAGTATCCTACTAACAATAGTGTATTAGTACATTTAGTACGTACTTGTTACTAGTGACTATTACCATGTCATGAAACCAACGAATACCTAGGATTTAGGAGGGAAAAGGTAAAATGTAGGTAAATTTCTTTAAAACAGCAAAAAATTTTGAATCCCCTCTCAGTTTCCTGCCTAGGGGTGAAATTGAGCCGAGTCGAACTCGAGTAGTGACGTACTCGAGTTCGAACTCGATGCTGACCTCCAGAGCTCGAGTTCGAGAAATAAAAATCGAGCTCGACTCGACTCGATTGAGCTCGGCGTGCCATTCGAGCTCGAGCTCGAGGTCGAGTACTCGAGTTCGATTTCATCCTGCACCCTTAACACGAGCTCAATATTGAGTCGAATACTTGACTCGAGCTCGATTTAATCATGCACCCCTACTCGAGCTACTCGACGAACTAAAAATGCCTCATCCTAACTACTCGAGATCGATTCGTTTCATATATTCGAGCTACTTGAGCTCGACTCGAGATCGAACAAAATCAATCTCGAGTCGAGTAGCTAATCAAGATACTCGCGAGCCCGATTCAAGCTATTCGATTGGTGTGCACCTCTATTCCTGCCCTCTCGCACATAAAACCCCCTGGAGCTTTGTTACCCTACATCCCCCATCCCCAAAGAATCGTGTATCCACCACAACCTGTCACCGTCTTATTCGACCAACCGCGAGTATCGTATTCTCACTTCAAAACCTTGGCGAAGAATCGATCAAATTTTTAATCTCCAACCAACCAATGAAAATTACCCACGTCACCATGCCCCGGTTAAACACGAGCGCATCCACAAAATAAACCTCCTCCAAAATAATTAAAAAAAGGCTCCTAAATTGTACTACTATAAAAATCACTAGAAAACGAAAAATAATTGCCTGGGTAAGGGTATTATACTTTATTAAAGAAAAATCAAGACGACTGAAAAGAAGTATATGCTTCTCTCTCTCTCTCTATCTCTGTCTCTTTCTATTTCTTGAACCATTCTTCACTAATTTTTTGCTGTGATTTTTTTTGGCCCTAATTCGGATCTCTAATTTCCCAATTTTGAAGCCGTAATTTTTCAATTAATTCATCGATCAAGTGAGATTCGATCGTGGAATAACGAACCTTTTTTTTCCCTGCGGAGTTTCTGGTTCATTTCTGTTTTCTTGGATTCGATTTTAACCTAGCCGATCGGAAGAAGATTTGATGAAGGTCGGATTAGCGAATTCACATCAGAAGAAGAGTTGATGGACGATCGCTATGCCTCAACTGCGTAGCGGAGTGAGACGAGGCCGCCGTGGACCGCCGATTGCTGCTGCTGCTAACGTTAAACAGGACGAGCCTTCCGAACAGCCGAGGAGAAACAGTAGCCGGAGAGCTGCAACGCCGGCGAAGAGAGCCGTGAGGACTACTCGGCAGAGGCGAACGACAGCAGGGAATAAAACCGGAGGGAGGATTAATAATAGAAATAAGAATAGGATTAAGAAGGAAGAGGCGGAGCAGCCGTTGCCAGTGTTTGGGGTGGATGATGATGCTGATGATGAGCAGAGAAATGATGTGAATGCTGTGAAGAAAACGGCGTCGGTTGGTGAACAAGAGGATAAAAGAGACGCAGTTAATTTGAACTTGAAGGAAGAGGTAGGGGAAAAGGAAATAATGGATGAATACGATAGCGGAGGTCGGAGTGGTGATAAGGGCTTGGGGGCTGATGACGAAGGCAGCACTGCTCCCCTTCCCGAGAGGGTACATCTATTTTTACTACTGCCCTTGCATATCATACTTGAAACTGCAAAATCCTGTTTCCCTTTGGTCCAACTTGTCAACTTTTTGTGCAAGTTTTGGTAAAGTTGGTATTTTTGTTGTTAGATTGACTATGGTGGTTTTGATATGATTATTTAATGAGGCATTTCAGGAGAAAAAATTTCAAACACTATGAGTTCAAATGTTTTATTTGAATAAATTTTGGAACCAGTAAAAGAAGAAAACAAAAGGTGGGTGCAGGTGTTGTTTCATTTCTTAAGGGTGCTAATATGAGGTTTCAAGTTGATACTTTGGAATTTTGTGTTTTTCTCTTCAAATTTATGTGACCGTCTAGAATGAACTTTTGGGGACGCTAAAGTAGTTGGTTCTAAATGACTCAGCTCTGCGTTTAGTTGGTGTCAAGAGTTGCCTGCAAGCCAGAGTTTTAAGAAATTTGTTGAACAAGTGTTCAACTGTGCAGTTTGAGGGAGGGGCATTTGGGGACTGTGATGTTTTTGCTGGTTAATTTTCATTTTTCTGTTGCTAAGTTTGTTGCGTTATTCAAAATTTAATGTTGATTGGGTATATAGTTTGTGAGGAATTGAACTTTTCTAAACCAGCTTTAGTAGAAAGAGTTCTTTTGTGAATTAGTTATTCAACAGGTAAGTTCTTTTTCATTTCCTCTTGGATAAAGATCAGTTGTACTGAAGTAGGTGAATTTACCTGATTGATGCAAACTAATCCTTTTTGCTTTTTGCTTTCTCTAGGAGGTGCTTGCATATAATGATTAATTTCACAGTGGAATTCTGTGTGTATTACTGTCAGTTGTCAAAGGCTGTTAGGCTGTCCTACAGAGATTGGAATATCTATTTCTGTTTGTTTGTGTCTATAGGTCCAGGTCAGTGGCTCACCAGCATATCGGATTGAGAGGAAGTTGGGAAAAGGAGGATTTGGGCAGGTCTATGTTGGTCGTCGAATTAATCCTCCAAATCCAAATGAGAGAACGGGATCAGGAGCTGTTGAGGTATGGCATTTGTCATTCTTTTTCTGCATAGTAGCTGCATCTATACTTCTTTTCATGATAACAAGATGGAGTATTTCAATGTCCAATTCTAGGTTGCCTTGAAATTTGAGCATAGAAGCAGCAAAGGCTGTAACTATGGACCACCGTATGAGTGGCAAGTGTACACGTAAGTCATCTTTGCTGTTATCATTATGAAATTTTGTCTTTGTAATTTGCTGCTGCAATGCCTCCATCTATTTCCTTGGTTTTACTTCTTAGTGCACTTGGTGGGAGTCATGGCATACCACGTGTGCATCACAAGGGTCGGCAAAGTGACTACTACATTATGGTATGCCACTAAGCTTATAATATATTTTCCATTTCAATACTTTTGTTTTACATATTTATAACTGGAAACTTATATTTGAAAAGCGTTATTTTCTTTGCAGGTCATGGATATGCTTGGTCCCAGTTTATGGGATGTCTGGAATAACAATTCTCACACGTTAGTTTCTCTTTTGGGCCTTGGAGATGATTGTGATCACTGTTTTTTTAATACTGAATCATTTGATTAACTTATAATGCCTGTTCTTGTTTTTCGATTACAGAATGTCTATTGAGATGGTTGCTTGTATCGCCATTGAAGCCATCTCCATACTAGAGAAGTTGCATTCCCGAGGGTAATTTTTCTGTCATTAACACATGCAATCTTTATCCTTTTGGGTCCTATATGAGAAAAAGATTGTTCTGCTGTCTTAGGTTTCCTTGCCTTTATATTCAATTAAAAGTATGTTGTGCGAGATACCTAAGGTGACTTGCTATAAGTCCTTCCTTGACCCTTTCTTGGTTTTAGTATTTGGTGCAAGCAAAAAGTGTGCAGGGTCTGGGATTTATCGAATTTAGAGAGGAATTCTTAATCTGTAGCAGGAAAGAACTGTGAAAAGTTTAACATGGAAATACTGGATAAGAATGTTTACTGCTAGTATCTTACAAGAAATTTTGAGTATACGAATTTAATTGACATGGTAATAAAAAAAATTTCTGGATTACAGTGTTCCTTTGTGTTGCTAAGTGTAGCATACAGATTCTCATTTAATTGCTGGTGTATGTGTAATAATGTGTGGCTTGATTGTATTGGTTGGCTAAAGTGGTTACATGATTCTGGTTATCCAAGGCTTTGCATTAGCAATGTCTTTATTAAAGCTAATTAGGCAGATTTATATCCATGTGAAGTTCAGAGGCATTAATAACTTTATTGATTCCCTTCCAACTCGAGGAATTTACTTGTTCTATTCTTGTAACGGCTGAACTTTGCAGATATGTGCATGGAGATGTAAAACCAGAGAATTTTTTGCTCGGTCCACCTGGAACGGCTGACGAGAAAAAATTGTTTCTTGTTGATCTTGGACTAGGTAAACATCCAAGTGTATCAATGCTTTATCAATCACTAATAAGAAAAAGTCAAATTCTCATTTTTGTATGCCGTCTGGCCCTTCAGCTACCCGGTGGCGTGATAGTTCAACCGGCCTTCATGTTGACTATGATCAGCGACCAGATGTTTTCAGGTATTGTAATAATGCAATATTTCGCTTCTTTTACATGTGATTCGTGGCCTGCTTTCTTTCTTTTACTTTCATGTCATTGCTCGCTAACACAGAAGGCTGAATGTTTCAGAGGAACCGTACGTTATGCAAGTGTTCATGCCCATCTTGGAAGAACTGGAAGCCGCAGGGACGATCTTGAATCTCTTGCTTATACTCTCATCTTTCTTCTTCGTGGTCGCCTTCCTTGGCAAGGATACCAGGTTGACTGCTTGTAAATCTAATATTTTGAACTCTACCCTATACACTTTGTTATTCTTATACAATGTTTATATAGGGTGAGAATAAAGGCTTCCTTGTCTGCAAAAAGAAGATGGCAACCTCTCCAGATACACTCTGTTGCTTCTGTCCTGCACCTTTCCGGCAGTTTGTTGAGTATGTGGTGAACTTGAAGTTTGATGAAGAGCCTAATTATGCAAAGTATATATCCCTTTTTGACGGGATAGTTGGCCCAAATCCTGACATCAGGCCAATTAATACTGATGGTGCTCAGAAGGTTCTTTGCATTTTCTATTGCCATTCTCCTTACTGCTTCCTGGTAAAGAGCTTGAGATCTTCTGGAAAGTGATTCAGATTGTTCCTAACTTTGGTCTCTCTTTCATGAAGCTTATATTTCAAGTTGGACATAAGAGAGGTCGTTTAACAATTGAAGATGATGACGATGAGCAACCAAAGAAGAAAGTTCGAATGGGAATGCCGGCAACCCAGTGGATTAGCGTTTACAATGCTCGTCGCCCAATGAAGCAACGGTATTAAATTTCAGGTCTCCGTGTTCCAGGTTCACTGTTGAGTAATGAATTGATATAATGGTGGTTGGTTGGTGTTGCAGGTATCACTATAATGTGGCAGATATGAGGCTTTCTCAGCATATTGAGAAAGGAAATGAGGATGGTCTTTTTATCAGCAGTGTGGCCTCTTGTTCAAACTTGTGGGCCCTGATAATGGACGCCGGCACTGGGTTCACTGCTCAAGTTTATGAGCTCTCAGCTTATTTTCTTCACAAGGTGTCTTCTCTATTTTTCTTGACTTGCAGCCATCTTGTGCTTTCGCTGTTAATTGTGTTCTTCAGATATCTATTATTATGGCGTTAACATGCTCATCTATTTTACTGTCTTGGTGTAGGAATGGATTATGGAACAATGGGAGAAGAATTACTACATTAGTGCAATAGCAGGGGCAAACAATGGGAGCTCATTGGTTGTTATGTCAAAGGGTTAGTGCTGCTTCTTAAGGTCAATGCCAATTTATGATAAATTTTGTGCTGCAGACTTGCCTTATTTGTTCATGCTTCTTTAAAAATAGGTACTCAGTATTTACAGCAGTCCTATAAAGTGAGCGAGTCTTTTCCATTTAAGTGGATAAATAAGAAATGGAGGGAGGGTTTCTATGTTACTGCCATGGCAACTGCTGGAACTAGATGGGCAATTGTTATGTCCCGTGGTGCTGGATTCTCTGATCAGGTTTGTGGGATGCAGCATCTTATGACTAATTTTGCGGCTGCTGATGAACTTGTAATTTCTGAATTATGTGTGTGTTGTTTTCAGGTTGTGGAATTGGACTTCCTGTACCCTAGTGAAGGTATTCATAGGAGATGGGATGCTGGGTATCGCATCACAGCTACTGCTGCTACGTGGGATCAAGCTGCTTTTGTTCTTAGTGTTCCAAGAAGAAAGCCTGCAGATGAGACACAAGAGACTCTTCGAACTTCTGCTTTTCCCAGCACACATGTCAAGGTTGACCATACATTAGTTTGTCTTTTAAGTTCTTCCTCTGATTGATAATCTCCCTTTTGGTACTGAACTATAGTGATGTTACTGCAGGAGAAATGGGCTAAGAATCTCTATATTGCATCCGTATGTTATGGGCGAACTGTTTCCTGAAGCATATCACAATTTTGCTATGAATTTATTATGGGCATTACGGAGTGCTCTGTTGTATGAACCAAGATAGTGCCTTCTCTTCTGTTAAAGAGAAATATTGCCTTGTTTCTCTTCAACCTGACTCATCATCTGAGGGAGTTAATGTATGCAAAAGTCCTGCTATCAGATCATTGTGTGGTGGTTTATGCGCACCAGATGTCAATCCTGATCATGCTTTAGGTATTTAGTCAAGTTTGAGAATAGGGTAGATTAGGCTTTGGTCTAGCTTTGTATAGTCATAAAACAATAATCATCTATTGCAAAGTGCACAGCCTCCCGTGTTGCTGATAGCTTTATTGGACTTGTGATTAGTATTTTACAATGAAGTCCTAATGTTATCAGTTGATGGCCTTCTCCACTTTTGGGTCCTTGTCTGAGTTCGAACTTTTATCCTTAGGATTTGACAACTTTGAGATGTTGATTGTGATAATTACCGAAGATCGTTATTTATGGGCATTTTTCTACACCTGGTCTCTGTGATGCAAAAAAAAGTTCTGTTCCGTTGAAAAAGCTTGGGGGCAATGTGACTGCTTTCTGGAGGAGAAATGTAAATCCATCTTGATTGAAAATGGCTTACATAGAACACTAGTAACAACAGAACACTACTGTGAGGGGAGTATTTATTTTCTCATTGCGTCTGTTGCTCCTGGATTCGGTGCGTCTGATATGACTGCCAAGCTCGGAGGAGACACTACTGAGAAAAATGATATTGGAGGCTATGCCGTTAGGTGTATTTGTCTTATTTCTGCACCGAATAATCATCATCCACAAGACTCGGGAAATCTTCGTATCGGTGCATCTTATATTCTCTGTAATGTAATTTTTCCTACTCTTTGGTGGTACAAGCATGCATGTGGCCTTGCTATGGTAATATTGGCATCGAGACAGGCTACTTTGGCTTCCATGTGATGCAATGCAGTCTGCACATGTTTTACCCCGACAGGCATCGGATGTGCACCATCTTTAGGGCTTTTGGCTAGGGAAAATTTATGATCTTTAGCCTCCGAGGTTCAACAAGAAAACTATGGAAGAAAGGGCAAAGAGGTTTTGAGAAAAAAGCATCGAGGTCATGCTAAAAATTGGATAAAATTTCTAAATGCTCCGGATTCCTCCGGGCTAATCTTGAAAGAGGTAGAAGGGTCTAGAGTTTGTATATAAGAGACTTTAGGAGCTAGAATTGGGCAGAACCTTCTAGAGGTTAACATTCAAGGGTGTATAGTTAAGAGTGTAATTTGTTGAAATGCTCTTACACAATGATTTTGTTGCCCCTCTCCCCATGCTTTCCACTTGTGTTCTTGAGCAGAGAAGAGAGCAAATAAAGGGCAAGTAATGTAACAAAATACATTCACTAGCTGTTTAATGCGACAAAGTACAACAAAACACAAAAAAGAAGGTGAACTTGAAACCAAAAATCAATGCACATTATGAAGACCTCATGGCATGCTCTCATACACTTACGAACTCAGTAGTACCAATAATAGTCGAGATTGATAAAAAACAAAGAACAGACCAATATATAGAAATTCAGCACATGTGATTAGCCTCAATGCATTTCGACCAAAAAAGGAAAAAATGTTTTGACTTGTCTAATTTCTTATTTTCATAATCCTCCCATTTCGCACTTTTTTCTTTTTCATTTCCAAATTGTTCAAATCAGAATACACAAACCACATGTAAGACAGCACCCATGACCCAACAAGAAAGAACAAAAAAGAAAGTGCAACATCAGGAATGTTCTCAAACCTCTGATTTAAGAGAATTGGATGAATATGGCAGCAAAGGTTCAATATTTAAAAAGACACAGAAGGGCAACAGGAACAAAGAAGGAAAAATTTATTGAGCAAGAAATTACCAACTTGGGAAACCAATTCTGTTCCTCGAACTAGACAGAGGGGCAAAAAAAGAAGAGTAAGGTGCGAAAAGTTTTTTTTTTTTTTTGGTGCTAAAATGTTTTTTGATGATAAAAAGTTTAAATGGTTTCAGCTCTGATTATCATTACGGATTAGGACATACCATTGAAACAATACGTTCTTACAGACAGATCGCCTATCAATGTATCATTTATATTGGCAACGAAGTTCAAATATATAAAATTTTTGAAACTGACAAAAAAAAAAAGAGAAAAAGATCTACTACTATCAACTTAGGCCACGACGACTCTAATGCTAGCACGCGCACAAACTCCTGAGGTTAATCAAGAAATACGCCGCTGAAACTGAAACTGCTGAGGTTAATCAAGAAAACAGTCCTTTTTCTGATAATAAATAGACAAGCATCCTTACTAAGGTAGAAAAAACATAATTAGTAACTAAGTAGAAGGGGCCTAGAGCGGCTAAGGAGTGAACCAAACTGGCTATGGTTCAATCCTTTTAATGGTCTTGCAGTCACAGGGATAATAGCAGGGCTCAAAAGTCTCGTCTTTGTAGTTAAAAATGCCAAGGTCATGGCCTCCAAATGTTAAATCATCAGCGACGTAAATGGAATTGGGCCTCAATCCAGGGAAATCGGTTGCTGAGAGCCAGAAACTCCGATTCAAACCTACGAAAATGGCATGATCTTCCAGAGAATCCTCCATGTATCTCAAGACTTTAAGAGACGTCAAAAGTCCAAGTCTTGTAAGGTAAGTCGCAACCAATGTCAGTCTTCGGCTGGATCTACTATAGTACCATCAGGTTTGACATCGCCCCCAACGTGCCTATCTATAAAAAAGTGCTGGCCGGAGGAGGAGGAGGAAACATGATAATCACCATCAGGCACTGGCGCCGGTATGTCCTATGCACGGACATGGCTTTCTTGTCCCATTCCTCCTCCTCAGCTGGAGTTGTTACGGACTCAGAGCCAGTAGAACAAGGATAAAGCTCCCACATCGACCTTTATTATGTTCTTGATGCAGGCCCTTTTGGCCTGAAAGGATCCCGAAAATTCCAAGTCTCCATCTTGAACTCTTGATCGAGGGCGGTGCTTGCTGGAATACTTGACGTCCATACAGCAGTTTAGAGGACTTCGGAGGCACATCAAATCACAGATCAAAAGGATTCCACCGTTGGCAAATGATTTGTTGATTCTATCTCATGACCATCCGTCTAAATCATACGTCTCTTCGACTATACATTCTTTCAATTGTTGTTGTTTAATGATCAACAGAGAGAGAGAGAGAGAGAGACTTCTCTTCGAAGTAAATTGAAGAAAAAAAAAAGTGCAACAGGTGTGGCAAAATATGGGGAAAACAAAACAAAAATTGCAACCAATGAGGCAAAAATGAACTTCAACTAAATTTCCATTCAACCTGACAAATTAAAAAGGTGAGAGTTTACTTGACAGCACAATTACAGTATACACAGGAGCACATGAAAGCTGATGATTTAACAAGGTAGGGATGAGCAGAGCAGCTTCCATGTGATTTTGCAACCAATGTACAACTCAAACAGCTTGACACCAATTACAAAAATCCAGGTTTAAAAGAAGAAAAAAAAAACACACAGCATAGCAGATTTCAGACAATAGTTGCCTTCTTGAGATTAGTAGTCTTCATTCAAGCTCATTGTTTCCGAGAAATAAGCAAGAAACCATAGCTTTACAAATGAGGGCTGCATAAGCACAACCTCATGGAATCAATAGAAAAACACTACTTTAAGATATTTCACATTATACTCCACTAATTACCATTAGAGCTTTCTCTGCAAAGAAAGACCTAGTCTATGTATAATTGGTATAGTCTCAGCTGTCTACTTGGTGTACTTGAACTCAAACCTCACAAAGATTAGCCACTTCTCAAAAAGCTCAAAAATGTATTTGTTTCAGCACCATAATTACTTGGCTAAGGCTTTCCTGAAACCCCTAATATGCTCGGCCGGAAACATAATCTCCTCAAACGAACTTTTTCCTGCAAGGATAAAAAGTTACGGAAGACCTTAGCTAAGCAAAAGAATGTGTTTAAGAAACAATACATCATCTAACTGAAAAGGAAGCCAAAAACCTGGATTTTGCACACTGCCTGGAAATGGTACTCACCTCAATTTTATCATGAGTGTACCGAATTGTGAAAAGGCATCTACAACCTCTAATGTCATGCAACCTTCTCTCAATTCCTACAACTTCAGCTTCATAGTATCGCGCTACATCTTTTCGCTCCTGATGTTATTCAGCAAAAATTAAAAAATGTGAGCCCATCATTACACACTAATGAAATTTAAAAAATAAAAATAATTTGAGCCTTTGAACTATTAAAAATAAAAATCATTACACACTAATGTGAGCCTTTGAACTAGTGAGAATATTCTGTGTATTATTTGCTCAACATGATTTTTGACATTCAAAACACTTTTGCTATTGTCACAGAAGTAATGGACTTCAGATGACAGAAAGTGCAATTACAGTTTACAACCAATTATTTTCCACATATAAATCCTAGGTTGCCATCTGTAGGCCAGTCCTCGTGGATTAAATAATTCCACTCATTTGTAACAATGGCAGAGTCATGAACTCCTCCAACTGGACTGTAACAGAGAAGGTGGTGACAAACTGAGGTACCTGGAAGCACAGTACAATGTCTCCAACTCTCACTTTGTGGCATTCAGAGTGTTCCAAAGAGACAGATCTTTCACGTACTGACTTTATCACATTTACCCATTCATCCTCCTCAGGCCCAAATCCAACATATCTTACTCGAACCTCCTGTAATAAACCAAGAAAGATCAAACCTTGGGCACAAGGAAACCCATGCAGAATGATAGTAATTTTTGGGTGGACTCAGTGCCATTGGATCTTATAGACATAGCCAGGCAAGAAATATAGGATATAAATATGAGGCAATCAGCCTTTGGATGTGCTTTTGCACCTTTCCAATGGTTACTATAATGTTGCTTCACACAATGGCTCTGCAATTACAGGACAGATATTGCCTTAAGACTCAAAGAGGAAAAGAAGCAACAGAAATATGCTGGCACCAAATAGCATTGCATCCTAAAACTAAAAAATATGAAGCATTTATCTGCGGGTTCAACATTAGTGTGGGGAAACTCGGCATATACACCGCTATAGTGAAATATATACAAATTATTAGGACTAGGAAATCCTTTGATCAAATTTAAGCACTTACTCCTTCCCCTGAGTCGAGCATTCGGTGGGCAAGAAATGTCTCGATGTCATACCTGTAAGGCATCAAAAAAGGTTAGAACAAGTCTTACGCATGAAATTGCAGCCTTTTCTTCAGGAATGACAATCTTTACCATGTAACGACAGGGACCAACTTTTCCATAAGCATGTTATGCCTGTTTTGCCTTATTTATGTAAGCATTTCAAATTCAAGCCCAAAAACAGAGTAGAACTGCACACATCTGGTATTTTTCTCCTTTATGGTTTGCCTTATTGATGTAAGCATTCCACAAACTAACAGTTTTGGACACAGTACAGAATTTTCCCTCCTTTACACTGTAAAATGAACTCTCATTCAACTGCAAGTCAAACCTAAGTGGACTTTGACAGAGGTTAATTCATGAGCATTTATTAAATGAGACATTTGATCCAGAAAGATGACTCTAAGACCTGAAGAATTCTTTTCCCATGTTAGGTTTACATCTGGTATATGCAAACAAACTATATGGTTAATTGTTAAAAACACTACCTTATCATACAATCAAGAGGACAAGAAGAAATACATAAACAATTTGAGCCCTTTAAGATCACAAATAGATTTATGTCCTGCCTTTGTGCTTCAAGATCATGCAAAGCATCAATTGCAAAAGCTTACTATTGCGTGCCAACTAGAAAATAGTTTTAGAGAAAACAGGAAAGGTTCAAGAAGTTTCACTTGAAGGAAAGAAAATATCCAAGGAAAAACAGAAAACTGCAAAGGCATGTGTACATTCATAACACACAAATATCCAAGGAAAAGAGCAAACTGTGAAGGCATGTGTACATTCATAACACAAACAACGTGATCACATAGGACAACATAGCAAACTCGCCAAATTAAACTAATTGTGACTCACATTAAATTGACTTGAAATTGAAGGAAACCTTAGCACAAGATAAAATCTACACGCCCTATGAGTAAAGAAAGTATTGATCCAGAAAAAAGAAAACAAGAGAGAAGCTTGGTAACAAGTCCCCTTTCCTTTGACAAGGGGAAAAAGAAAAACTTAGTTTAACGAGCTTACCAAGCCCCATCTTTCGGTGATCTTGCCTCAAATTCCAACTTTGATACATCTGGAACCTCTTCATCTGCTTTCACAAGCCTTCGGTCAAAATCTTTGGAAAAGTACAAACTCATTCTAGCTAGTTGCTGAATAAAGTAATGATAAAATTTTTGACAAATAATGATTGAATTTTTTAACATGATTTGTTAATAAATAGCAGGACTGCAAGTTGGCAAATCAATACGCAAGCTACTAAAAGACGATTTCACTTACAGCACTAAAAGGCAAAGGACTTTGAAAGATGATAACCACAAAGACAATACATGCTGTTGAAGGAACAAGACCACCCTAGCACTTTACAAGCAAGACAACTGAAAAATACAATCAAATCAGAATTTGTCCTCAAATACCTCTGTACCTGATAAACTTCTATATACCTGAGTTCTATACCTAAAAATTAGACAAGGAAGGGGTACCCAGCTTGACTTGTAAAGGCTTAGGGAACTCGATCTTATCCAACAACATAAAAATTCTGTGGATCTACTGAGATCCCCACTTACTCCCTATTCAGCCAAATGGATGTCTAACTTTGCATTTAGCACCATGCAAAAATCACTTTCACTTTCTTCAATAAAAAGCAATAAGTAAAAAGAGTGGTAACTATTTTCTCAATTTTACCATTGAGCACTTGCTTCCCAACTTTCTCCATTTATTAAATTCAATTCATAAATCAATCCATGTGTTTCCCACTTCTTATTTAAGCTTCACACATTATTGTTATCCAAGTCCATTTTATAGCAGTGCCGACTCTAGCTAGGACATCCATTTGGAATAAAGGAGTGAAATACAAGTTATCAGCTTTAAAGCTCTCTCACATTTGTTAGAATATAGTTATTACTTGTTTTACATTGTTAAAATCTATAAGCTAATTGAATATAATAGCTCGCAAAGTTGCATCATACAAGACAGAAAAAATTTTAGTTCATCAACCTGTAACCAGGAAATTTATCCTCTTATCAGGCCAACCAGATCTAAAGGTGACTTTTTGAGAGAATAAGGTAGTAGGAAAGTACTTGCATGTGGAATAAATATATTAACCATAAAATCGTGCTTAAATCTCTGGAAATTTGGGTTGGGATTGATCCATGCGCAAACCCTGTTTGTCTATATCCCCACACAAAAGCACGGCATATTTATAAGAAGCACCTTTTGGCATCTGGGAATTCTCACTCTTCTTGATCAAAGCGCCAGCTTCTGGAGAAGGAGTTAATTTTCTTGCTGCATCAGCTGAAGCATCTTCAGAGAGGTAATTTTGCTGCCTTTTCTGAAACCAATTATGGACCTAAATACACATCCAGTGACATAAGTATTGTTAATATTCACATCAAACGTTATCAGCTTGACCACTAGCCTGTCTGGAAAGAAGCCAGAGCAAGAGTACCTCAATCCACTTTACAACAGGTTTTCCTGCACGACCTTTAGAACGGCTGCAATTTTAGCATGTCAAAGGAAGGAGTAACCATTCAATAAGAAATTCATCAAATTGATCTTTTCCAACAATTAAAAAGCACAAAAAGTTCCAAGATTACTTGAAAAGCCCTGCCAGCTTCTTACAAAAATCCCGGTCAAAAGATCGGTCCGCTGCATCTTTAAGGAAATGCTCCATTCTTTCACTCTAAATACATCATTTAACATTACAAAGAATCACGTAAGACAACTCTTGCCAGAATAGCATGAGGAAATGAAACATAAAAGTGATAATTAACAATGTTAATGCCAAGTCTTTCACACCACAAAAAAGGGAATGGTAGTAATGTTGGATAGCAAACTTTTTGAAACAACAAAAGTCCACAAGCACTCATTTTCTCAGGCAGAAATCTAGAAACCTGAGAGATTACGACAGGCCTACTAAAGTCATTAGAAAAGAAGAACCACACAAAATCCCCTAATCTACAAACAATCGCATTAGCTTGTTTCCTGATCATCTGGCAATTTTACATGTTTATGACAGCAAGGTAGCAAATTTGGCAAGTATCACACTAGAATCATGCCATGGAATCTTATTCACAACAGAATCTCTGTAGGCCCAACTTCAAGGGATGCTATTCAACAAAGTGGTATTCTTACCTCAAACTGACTGACTGGGGACAAATCTGCTGTAATCTAACAGTACATGACCAATTTCACAGCTGAGAAAGAAATTGAAAACACATGACATATACAAACAGTCTTTACTGGATTCCTCTACAAAGAAAGGAACACACAGACTACATATTCATTCTTGTAACTTGATACTCAAATAAATCTAAACAAACAACAAAAATAAATAGCCACATTAGTTTCGTAAGGAAAATTTTCATGATTCTTTTCCCCTTCCTTTCAATGGATCACCTGTTGGCATGAACAGCCTTTAGATTAATGAGGTACTAAAAAAGTTAACAAACTTTTAAACTACTTAAAATTTCTCCAATGAGAGACTACAAAAAAGTTGCACATTTTTCGCATAACATGTAATTGCATAGAAGCAAAATCCATAAATGCAGAGTAAACTAATATTCTAATCAAGGTAATAAGCAGATTAACAACTGATCAAACATCAGGGCAGGGGTCAATACATTTCAGCAATCAATCATGCTTTCTTCAGAAAAATAAACATCTACACAAATAAATATACACAAACTCAGGCCTCATAAACAAAAATGGAGCTAACTACATAAAACTAGATGATTATCAGAACCTTTTAATGCAAGCCCAGATGAGAAAAACTCAAGATTTTTGGAAAAAGTTTTAGGGGGAAAAAAGGACCTCATCTTTTGTGAACCCAGAAAAGGGTGTTCTTTGCCTAGGACGAAGATCCATGGAAGCAAGTTGTTCCTTCCAGTCAACAGCTGAAAGATTTTACTAGTAGTGATTAAATTTGTAGTTGAAGCTAACAAATGGCCAAAACCCTAGCCCCCAAAAAAGCTGCATTTGTTGAGAATGAGAGAAGCTTGTTTGCAGGTTCTTTGTACTCAATATGCCACGGGAAATTGGGTTTTGTCCTTTGGGCGCCTTTACAAACATTCATTCATTTCTGATTGTTTATTTTTCATTTTCTCTTTCTATTAACCAATGGTCAATAAACCAGTAAACACCTGAATCGGGCACTCTTACTTTGGTTTTTCATACCTAGGCAAAAAGCTTGGGTAGCTTTTACCTTGTTTTTATCCTTTCTTTGAGCTTTATAGCCTTTAGCCTTTGTGTTCACTACTCACATTTGGGTGGTCTGGATTTTGTCACATTATTTCATTAAATGATATAGTACAATTTGGACTATTAAATTTTTTTTCGAACAACTACTATTGTATTTTTAAACACCTACTCAAGTTTTGTTCTGTTTTCACACCTCTCAGAGTATCCATAATCCACTTCTTGCCCATGTTTTGGATTCATTTAGGGCAAAAAATGGGTTCATCCTAAAAACTTTTTCCAATTTGGCAGAAATAACATGAACTTGAAAATTGAGAGAATTGGGAGAATTACTAAAGAGGAAAAGTTACTAAATTATTGTTGGTTATCATTTGTATCTTGTAGAGACATAATCAACACAAATCATGTTTTCTTTTCTTTCTCTTGACCCAAAAAAAATGTTCTTTTTTTTTATTTCAAACATTTATCCTTTGTTTGTGCCTTTTTTTTAACATTACCTACCCTAACAAGTTATGGGGGCACTTTCTGAATTCTGTTATTTAAGAAAGTTTTTCTCTTTTGTGTAATACTAAAAAATTTTCAGAAAGTTAAATTCTTACTTGCACAAGTTTCATGGTCAATTGTACAAATCATTAATTCTAACTAAGACAATTTCTTTTTTTTTTTTTTTTGGAGGCATTGAGGGAAAAGTTACCTAAGTAGTTGCATTTTTTTTTAATTAGAGAATTTGAGATTTTACGGTCATCTTGTTAATATGGTTGCCTCTTGAATTGGGTCCTGATGGACAAAAGAGCACAACCATTCGAAATCACAACTGAAATAATTGGGCCGAGCCCAAGAAAGGCATACCCTTGATTTTTTTAACCTCGGAGGAATAATAGTCCCACATTTCCTTGGCCCAGAAAAATGAACAGTTGCACTAGGACGCAGCCTCATGGCTTTCATGGCCTACGCTTGCTCTGGATTTTGTCTTTGTACTGTCCCTTTCTTCCGGTTTAACTATTAGTGTGTTGATTAATAACTCTTAACATTATATTGTGAATAAGTTAAATAATCAATAACTCTTAGAATTCTATTGGAGAATAAGTTTAGCAGCAAGACAATTAAACAAAGACGGGACAGAGACAAAATTCGAGACAGATGATTTGAAGTGTTTTATGGTCGATGGTTGAATGGAGCTTTCTAACCGTTCTGTATTGAGATGGAAGGGAAAAGAAGGAAAATTCTATGGTTGCTTTTGGGTATCATTCTATCAACTTATATCTTCCACTAAAGATAATAATTCAAATGTTAAATATTTAACAATGTTTAACCTAAGGGTCAATAACACTTATTTCACCGTTCAACAGTGAATTTCACTTGTGGGTAGGATACTCAAAAATGACTATAGAATCTCAAAAAAAAAGAAGTTAAAATAGTGTAAAAGTCTTTCCGAAAGCTTAATCAACATAATAATTATTCAATTAATGAATGAACTTAGAGCTACATACATAATAGGTTAATAGATATATCCCCATAAGATGGAATGAATGAAAATGCTAGGACGCCGTGCCGCTCAGGTATACCTACTTTAACTAGGCAGGTTGCATCTAGAACCCTTTGAATGCGATATTCTTTTTTTTTCTTTTTTTCTTTTTTTTTTTTTTGTCATCACTGGGGTATTCGGGTCTACACCCGACTAGTCCCACAGCGCCCCAGCAGAGCGGGCCCGACCGATGCTGAAGAATTTAACAGGTGGGTTGCTGCCTGGGATCGAACCCAGGTGGAACTCAGCTAAGGAGCCTCCTTCCACCAGCAGACCAACCCAGCGCGGGCTTTGAATGCGATATTCAGATGACACCAAATTTCCCACTTTTTAAGACTTGATGATCTAGTCGAAAGGACTTGTGCTCCTAGGCAACTTAAGTCCAAAGATGGGGATTGTAGCTAACCACCTTTGTATCATTGTACGTCCCTTCTTGCTAGGATTATTTGACTTTTGCTCCTCAATAAGAGGACATTCCTGTGTGGAGATTGCATCAACTAATGAAAATTTTCCTCGGTTGTGAGATTAGACTACAGTTTCAAGTTGGAAACCTGAAATCTGATGTGTGAGTTCGACTTAGTCTTCACATTTGCAAGGTAGAAATGGTTGGTTGATGGTTCATAGCAACGTCCAAATTTTGGTTGTGCGTGGCTTCCTTCTCACACTGAACTGCAGATATCACCAGTCATATTCAAGAATTTGGGCTGTTCAAAATGGTACTCCCTCGTCAAATGTCGGCTACCAACTCAACTGTTTAACAATAATGTTAGTTTCCTGGCCAGTGCATGTTTTTCAATCATCTTTTTACGTCTTCATAAAAACTCTAAAAATAACAATTGAAACTGGATTAAAAAATAAAGTTAACATGAAACTTGAAGAAAAGATTTGAATCCCAATCTGGGCACGATCCAATATTGATATTGTTTTAACTTTCACATCAACTTGATCTCTTCGTGCACAATTACACGGAAAATTCGGTTAATGATGCGTTTGACAAAAGCTAAAAGTGATGTGATCGATATTAGCTCCTCATGACCCCAATTACTCATAATAGATCACCTAATTCATCAGAAAGAAAAAAATATGCATTATTGCATGAGCATGAATTGACAATACATGTGATCCAAAATCTAGAAAAAAAAAATGACTAAAGAAAGAACAAGACGAGCAAATGATGTGGAGGGATTGGTAGGACTTAACTTGAGATTTAGTCCAACATGATGCAATCAACTATTTGGCACGTGCAAGCCACACGACCACTTCTCAATAAAGAATAAACAATAAAGAATAGCTAACTTGATTGATTTGCATGGGAATGCCTTCGTTGAAAAGAAAAGAATTCACTGTATAGTTCGATATGCTAGTAAAGTTAGACAAACCCATCATGTTTTTTCTTTTGGTTGTTGTTTCTTTTTTTCAGATTTAAGAGAGAGAGAGGAAAAAAAAGAAGAAAGGACGACTTTTGTCAGGTAATTAAGAGACATCTACTGCTATTTGTGGAATCTAAAGACGAAGATGGAGAGAACCAGCAAGAGGTACGTCTAAATAAATGAAGGAACGAGAGTTGAATGTTTTCATGATTTCATCTACCAAAAAAATTAGATGCTTTTAGCGCACAGGCACCTAACATTTTGGAGGTAGTCGAGCTTTATTTCTTTTAATTTGGGCTGCTACTTCAGTTCACATGTTCTTTCTTGGTGACATTTTTGTATTTGATCTGTAGTTTCTATCTCAAACACGTTAGATGTTGTAAGTTAAAAAAACTTTCCCAAACTAAAAATTGTTTTAGTTGCTTTAATTTCTTTATGTTTAGAAACCAAACTATATATATATATAAAGTGACCGTTTTAGGTGGATCTTCATTCAATTCAATCCGTGGAAAATGGGGAAAAAAATGGTAGTGTTTTCGTTGTGTTCTAAAAGTGGGTATTAATATTAGTATTGTATATATGTCCTAATGCACTTTTGGGGTTGAACGAGAGCCATCTAAATGAAAAGAGAGTAAGCACATAGTATATAAATCAAGAATTTTGCCCTCCTTCCTCCTCCTCCTTTCTCCTATTTATTCTTGAAAAAAGAAAATACTTTCTGTCCGAGTTTCTAAGACTTGGAAAATAATTAAGATAAATAATATACTAATAACTTCCTATATATAAATACGAACCCTATATTGAAAAACAAGTTAAATTTGCTCCGTAGAAAGCACGCCTCAATTGTTAAAAAAAAAAAAAAACTTGTCACTTGCATTCAAACCACTACCCAAATAATGACACTTAAACATTGATATTACTCCTATACCAAAGAATAAAATTGTACAAAGAGCTCACACAAAATTAATAAAACATTAAAATCGAAATATAGGCATAGGACGTAGGTATTTGATAAATTTTCATTGATAACTTTTTTTTTCTTTTTTTTGATTAAGCACGCATAGGGAAGATGTGCCAAATTAAGATAGAGAAAGATTGGATTGCATGATTAGGTAAAAAGAATTGTAAGTAGAAGGTCTTGAATTCAAAGTCTCGAGATCTCTCACTTAAAAAAATAAAAAAAAATTAGTACTTGGGAAAAAAAAAGAATACAAAATAGCAGCAAGGAAAGAAAAGAACAGAAAGAAGAGAGAGCTTCCAGTCTCCAGGACTTGGCAGCTAACTAATTTTCACTTCTCATCACATTCTCTATCGATCTCACTGAAAACGTGGAAATCTCTGAATTTCTCTCTCTCCAAATACGCGGAGAACCTGTGTCCACACGTAACTTTCACCATGCTGCTCTCATTCAACGCCAACACCCCCCATTTTCTGGTAATGGACGATATAAATCCCATCAATTCTTTCTCTTTTTATCTTTTAGTTCATATTTGTCAGAAATTTTCAATTTTGACTTAAGCCCACATAGGAAGAGTTCACTTTTTTTTGATATATAAAAAGTGGGATTGTGTCAAAGCCTTTGCTGTCAAGCAGCGCCATTTTATTCTTTGCTGTTGCTTAGAAAAGGTGTGTTCCCTGAGTTTTTTCTGCAAAGGGACAATCTTTATTGTTTTCAAGAAAACTCCGTGTTTTTTTTTTGTGGGTTGTTTGTTATTTTTAGGCTTTGTTGTTTTGTTTAGTTTCTGTCATTGGCAGAGAAAGGCATTTGGTTGTTTGATCAGAAGACGAGAGAGAAAGATCAGTGGAGTGATGGAGAGTACATTGAAGGAGATGAGGAATGGGGAATCTGTGCTCGATATGACTGATGAAAGAGGAGTTGGTGGTGGCGTTGGGGATATCTATGGGGAGGATAGAGCCACAGAGGATCAGCTTCTAACCCCCTGGAGTTTTACTATCGCCAGGTTATCCACAAATGTCTGAACTGATTTACTGTTGCCACG